GAGAGAGAATGTCCTCACACATTCCAAATCTTCTCAGTGTTTAATATATAGGCACAGTTCTCTAGAAGGTATTTTGCAGTAAGTCTCATCTTTCCAGGAAAAATCTTTGACCGCTTTCATGGCTGGTTGTATTACATGTTTATAACAATGTAAGTTTTCCTGGAGCTTCATTGCAGTTCTTAAAGCCTATCTCATAATGTACATTTGGTGACTGCCTAGACCAGGCGTCCCCATACTTTTTGCACAGGGGACCAGTTCACCGTCCCTCAGACCGTTGGAGGGCTGCCACATACTGTGCTCCTCTGACTGACCACCAATGAAAGAAGTGCCCCTTCCTGAAGTGCGGCAGCAGGGTGGGGGGGCAGATAAATGGCCTCAGGGGGCCGCATGTGGCCCGCGGGCCGTAGTTTGGGGATGCCTGGCCTAGACAAATGTGGTCTCTGGTTGGAGCTGGTGAGGTAGTGAGGCGATGACTAACAAATGGAAGGACTGCACCTTACCGTGATTTTCTTTTTTTCTTTTTCTTTCTTGCCTTTCTTTCTTTTGTTTTCTCTCTCTCTCTCTCTTCTCTCTCTCTCTCTCTCTCTCTCTCTCTCTCTCTCTCTCTCTTTCTTTTTGAGATGGAGTCTTGCTCTGTCACCCAGGCTGGTGTACAGTGGCACAATCTCGGCTCACTGCAACCTCTGCCTCTCAGGTTAAAATGATTATGCTACCTCAGCCTCCAGAGTAGCTGGGATTACAGCTTGCTTCCGAAAACCACCTGTCTGTGAACACCAGTTTGCAACGATCATCTGCACTTTAAAAGACACATAGAGAGAGAGCCTATTGATACTGCAGCTTTGCTTCACATGGTGATATTACCAGCGCTTCTGTAGCCCCCCAAATTTAGTATAACACACTGTTTTAGAGTATTCTTGATTTTATTCTTTCTAGAGGTGATCTACTCAGAAAATCAAACCTGAATACAGCAACATAGAAAAGAAAGTATTAAGATGTGAAAGAAAGTAGGTCCATCCGGAGTTATAAAGTTATTCTGTAGTCACTTTGTACATACTCTACCATTATTATGGGAATAAAGACCTGAAATTCATCATAAAATAAAGACCTGAGATTGATTATGGAATCACTGTGAACCTTCCCAGCACAGCTCGCGGATACCCACAGTGCTATTTCTGTCTGTTTCCCTTTGCCACGTACCCCCTGAATCACAGAATACGAGCAAAAAGATCTAAAAGCCCCCACAGTTCAGCTCTAATATTGAATAGAGAATAACATCAAGTATTTTTTTCTGAAGCCAAATATACCCCGTAAACGTGTTGCTTTATTTCTTTTTAAACTTAGCTTTTGCTCTTAAAATGGTACATAGAACCTATCATTGATTGGGTGTGTACTGCAGAAATTTTTAAACCTTACCAAGAATGGGGAAACTCTATTTCACACCAACATATTATGATTTATACATAATGTGCTTTCATTTTATTTTACCAACTTCCTTGTTAGGGAGTTAGACTGGTGGGTCTGAGGGAGGGACATGGAGGGACAAAGTGCTTGAGCAACCAAAATAAGTAAGATCCAAGCATCTCAGTATCTCCCTCTTTATATTGCTCTCAGCTCCTTCCTTTCTCATGGCATGGGGGAGTCTTGGAAGCTGTGTTCTGGCAGATGCGGCAGGCCTAGCACTCTCTGAACACTAGAAGTACAGAGAACCTTGCCCAAGTAACCTCAGGTGGCGACAAGCGTCTACAGAGGGCAGCGAGGGTAGTGATCGGACACACAAGGCTGGAACGTTGATCTGATATGTCCTCCACCCGCTACTCCCCGCCCCCGGCCACAGAACTCAATGCTTTTCATGGAGTCTGAGTAAAGCTGAGCTGCTGAAGACAAAAATGAGTCAGAGGTCAATTCAGGAGCGGAACAACAGTGCTGTTTTTTCAGAGAGGAAAAAATGGATTGGCTGAGAAGTGTCTTTACACATTCTAATCTTCTCAATATTTAATATCATATAGCTACAGTTCTCTAGAAAAAAAATTGTGGAAAGTGGTATCTTTCCAGGAAAAATCTTTGACAGCTTTCAAGGCTGGGTGTATTACGTGTTAATAACAATGTATGTTTACTGGAGCTTGCCTGCTTTTGTCCCCTCACCAAAGTACTTAGCATGTGCCAAATGCAGTTTAAACAATCTATCTGCTCTGTTTCCAAGTGCATAGATAGCATCTAAGGTCTGGTCTTCAAAAGTACAAGTTCAAGAGTACCAACTAAACAAAATGTTATACCCCAATTAGTCAAGTTTAAATAATACTTTAAGAATAATAGTAATTTAATGGAATTATGTTTCTACGAAGAAGGATACAAAGTAGGGTGATAACTTTCATATTTAGCAAAGAAGGGGGCCAGGCTCTCATAAAACGAATGCAGACAGATCTTCTGTAATAGTTTCATAACTATCACGAATATTGGAGAGACATGTTATACAATTTCAAGTTACTGCTGTTAGGTAGAAAGGGCCCATTCCCCATGCCCGGGACCCACATCCAGCGGACCGCCTCCGGAACCCATCCCCTCTTGCCACATGGCTCTTCCTTCTTCTTTGTTTAACCTCCACCAATCACTCCATAACACCTCACCTGTACTCCCCACCTTAGCCCGCCAAAGCTAAGCCAATCCCTGCACTCCACAATACTCCCCCTTCGCCCATGCCCAACAGCCACCAATCACTTCACAACCCCTTGCCTAAACAGGCCGCCGCCCCTATAAAAACCCTCTCCGGCAGCTGCTGGGTGCAGCTCTTCCCTCTCCCGCTCGAGTTGCCCGCAAACCCCAATAAACCTGGACTCGGCTTAACAACTCCTCGCTCTCATTTGCTTTGGGAAGGGTCTCTGCGGGTCGCACAACTGCCACACTTAGGAATATCTAGCAGTCTATCTATCTAGATAAAGAAACTTTTTCTTTTATACAAACCTAATAATGAGATAAAGTGTTTTTTTTTTTCTTTTGAGATGGAATATTGCTCTGTCACCAGGCTGGAGTGCAGTGGCGCAATCTCGGCTCACTGCAACCTCCGCCTTCTGGGTTCAAGTGATTCTTCCACTTCAGCCCCCTGAGTACCTGGGACCACAGGCACGTGCCACCCTGCCTGGCTAATTTTTGTATTTTTAGTAGAGATGGGGTTTCACCATGTTGGCCAGGATGGTCTTGATCTCTTGACCTTGTGATCTGCCCGCCTTGGCCTCCCAAAGTGCTGAGATTACAGGCTTGAGCCACCACGCCCGGTCAAGTTTTTCATTTTTAATTAGTTTTTTCTAGTCATGCATTCAAGGGAGCATGACACTGTTTGGTAAAATGAGATGATTCCACATCATGTTTTTGTTTGGTTTGAAAGATGAAAGAGCTGAAAAACCTTTTGTCACAGAAATGCCACCCAATTAATCAATTTTTTTGAGATCATAATCCAAAAATTACATTGTGATTTAGCTACAAGTTTTTTTTGTAATGACCTTTGAATTTATAACTCATTAAAACTTTTTGTAGTTTAGATAAAAACAAAAAATTTGAAATTATCGAAATTTAAAAAATGGTGCCTGTCATATTCTACCCCCTACTTTTTTTACCTATCATGCCATGGTCAGCTCTTGTATTTGAAAAGTATTAAAAATGAGAAAGTATTAAAAAATAAAAAATTAAAAGTATTAAAAATTAAAAACAGTACTTAAAAAATGTAAGTATTGTTAATTTCAATACACTTTTGCCAAATCAGTATTTTTTTTGTGAAAAAGCCACAATCTCATCAACAGTGCCTTTAAAAAAATTCAGCAGAAAATATGAACTAGTAACTGATCATGATAAGAAAATAGAACCCAGTAAAAACAAAGTTCTAGGGCAGAGCAACTTCAGTCTTCAGTGTGAAACCATCACAGTCTTTTGGAAGAGGCTTCTCTTTCAAAGCACATTGCTATCCAGAGGTGCTCAAGGCCCAAATAGGAAGATGTGGAAAAAACTCAAGTGACAAAAAAATCCAAATATTTAGTCAAAATGATTCTGAAATAGTTGCTTCCTTCATCCAGGTGTGGCCAATTTAAGAGTTTGAAGAAGATGATAAAATTGTGGGTAAACTCAGGGAAAATTGAGCTACCAACCTCTGGCACACAAAGTCCTCTGTCATAGGAAGATGGAACAAGCATTTTTTCCCTCAGGATTTTTCTGGCCCTGGGTCTAAAATCACATGATTTTTTTGGAACTTGTTAAAAATGTGACCCTTTAATATGAATATGCAGACAGTCTCCCTCAAATGGTTTGGCTGCAGCAGGGGTGTGTCTATCCAGATCTCACAGACTTTCAATGTTTTTTTTTTTCTTTTGAGACATAGTCTCGCTCGGTCCCCAGGCCCCAGGCTGGAGTGCAGAGGCGCGATCTCGGCTCACTGCAACCTCTGCCTCCCGGGTTCAAGCAATTCTCCTGCCTCAGCCTCACGAGGAGCTGGGACTACAGGCGCACGCCACCATGCCCGGCTAATTTTTTTGTATTTTTAGTTGAGATGGGGTTTCACCGTGTGGGCCAGGATGGTCTCAATCTCTTGACCTCATGATCCGCTCGCCTCGGCCTCCCAAAGTGCTGAGATTACAGGCGTGAGCCACCGCACCGGCCCTCAATGATTCTCTTGCTACTTCCCAGACCAAGACCTGGGTCATTCCAGTCATGGACCACATTCGAGGACACTGAACTGCCAGAGATGGATGGCAGCAGACTTCTAAAGGGCGCCTCTCTCCCTTTCCACCCCACAAACACACCCACACTGGTTTTTCTGCCTCCCCTGATGTGAAGTGACTTGTGGATAGAGAGTCTATTGACACTTTAGAAAGTGGTGTTGAATGTATGTTCCTAGTAAACTAGCAGGAAGAGCCCAGGACACGGGGAACATTGCAAACACGGAGCCGCCTACAGGGAAAGAGAAAGGGTGGATGTCATCTGTTTGATCAAGTTAAACAAACGTCGTTGAGTTGCCTTCAAGAGGAGATTTATTTGGTTTGAAGTATTCTACACACAGGCATAGTCCAGTGAAAATGAACAGATTTATTGAACACGGATGTAGAGTGGAAGTGCTGAAACGCGCTCGCTGAAACAATTGAATTTGACACTGCTGGCTTATGACCCTCAAGGTAGATTAGACATTCACAAACAAAAGCACCCAGAACCACCACCAAGACCCGATATCTGCCTGTTTCCACACCCAGTCCTACGCTTAACTACATTTGGGCTCCTAACGACCTTCTCTGTGGAGGCGAAGGGCCAGCTGCATGTCTCTGGGCATAATGGTGACACGCCTGGCATGGATGGCACACAGGTTGGTGTCTTCAAAGAGGCGGACCAGGTAGGCCTCGCTGGCCTCCTGCAGGGCGCCAATGGCCGCGCTCTGGAAGCGCAGGTCCAGGCTGATGAGCTGGGTGACCTCGCGCACCAGGCGCTGGAAGGGCAGCTTGTGCAGGAGCAGCTCCGTGGACTTCTGGTACTTTCTGATTTCGCGCAGCGCCAGGGTGCCAGGCCGGTAGCGGTGAGGCTTCTTGATCCCTCCTGTAGGCGGCCACTTCTTGCCTGGGGCTTTGGTGGCCACGGGCTTCCTGGGGGCCTGCACAGTGGTGGCTTTGCGGGCGGTCTGCTTGGTGCGCGCCATGGTGTGGGGCCTCGGCCTTTCTCCGGTCCTTGGGCTGAGCCTGGTCAACAGCAGGCAGCGGTGGTTTCAGACAGCTGTGATGGTGGGGCTGTGGACGAAATTCAGAAAGCTCGTGAGTTGAGATCCATGGGCAAGGCGCTCCCGCACACTTAGCCCCCGAAACCCAGCCCGACTTACCAGCTCGTTGGTCTGCAGGTCAGAGGCCCTACTGCTCAGTCTCCCGGGGGTCCTGGGCTTCCTAGGTCTGCACACCAGCGGTGGTGAGTCTCCCTACTAGGCAGTCTCGCACTGGCTGGAGATCTCTGAGGGCTCAGCTAAGTCCAGCTTCTTATAAGGGCCTCAGATGATTGCGTTAGACCCTCCCAGCTACGTTTCGTTGCACTCATTGCTTTATCAGATTCTCAACCTCATCAGGGCTGTGAAAACTCCATCAAGTCCCCGGGGACTTCCCTCCCAAGGAAAGGAGGAACAAGTCCAGCCTCTCAGAAGGGGCTCAGATGATTGCATTCGACCCTCCCAAGTCCAGCCTCCTATAATTGGCTTAGATGATTGTATTAGACCCACCCACCCAGCTAAGCTTCACCAGACCCTCTACCTCATCAGGGCTGTGAAAACTCAATCTAGTCTGGAGCGTGCCTTGTAGGGGGGATGGTAGGTGCGTGGGTCACCTAAAGTTCTGGGTGCAAAAGAGAATCTGAAAGTTTACATTTGTCAATCATCATGAAAATACTGACAGTGAAAAACCAATTTTAATAAAATCGGCAGTTAGCCAAATTGCATGTCTGCTCCAAGACACCAAGGCATGAGAACATGAGGTTGTATCATTTCTTTGAGAATGAAGTGTAATGATGGGGGTGGGGGGTGGGGGGGAAGGGTATATGGAAATTTGAAATGGCCACTTCTCTGTCAGGGATTCTCCTGTGGTATTTTCTCCCCAAAAGTGACACTCATGAAAATCTTCTGGTAGCCTACAGCAGATTTGGCTCTGGATAAGCCAAAGCTTTCCTGAGAAAAGAATCACATGTGACTGTCACAGATGTTCCCTCTCAGCCCCCTGAAGCTCCCTTTCCTTTTTGAAGGTGGATTGGATTCCTGAGCTGAGCTATCCTGCCACTGGCCATGATGGGAATGCCATGAGCTCCTGAGAAGCTAGTTTTGACCTCACTTAGCTGCTGACCGGAGGTCACAGATGAGCTAGGAAAGCATTGAAAATATTTTGTTATTTTAATATTTTTAAGGGTAACTATGGTTTTAGGTTCCATAGATAAAATGTATAGTTGTGAATTCTATTCAAATATACTGTTAACAGACTTTTGTGAGAGGTGTAGTTGAAATTAATGCCCAATTCAATGCAGGTATGGCACACAGAACAATAGATTCCATGATATCAGTACTTAGAAAATAAGTTCACATTAGCATTTTAAAATTAGAGCTTATTATTATTTATTTTGCTGTTGAATTTTTAAAAACTGTTTCAATAGCTTTAGGAGTACAGGTTATTTTGGTTCCATAGATGAACCGTGTAGTGTTCATAGTAGTCTGGGATTGGAGTGCACTCATCACCCAATTTGTTTACAGTTTACTCGGCAGACAGTTTCTCCTCTGTCACCCTCTCTCACCCTCCCCACTTCTGAGTCTCTAATGTTTAGTATCTTACACTGCATGCCTTTGTGGACCCACAGCTTAGCTCTCACTTCTAGGTGAGATCCTGCACTATTTGCTTGTAGATTCCTGGGTTACTTTTAAAAGAATAATGGCCTCCAGCTCCATCTAAGTTCCTGAAATAGACATAATTTCATTGTTAATGGCTGAATTGCAGTGCATGATGTATATGTACCCGTTTTCTTTCCCTTTGTTTTGTTTTGTTTTATTATGATATCAATAGATTTTGGGGAGCAGGTGATGTTTGGTTACATAGATAAGTTAGTTAATGGTCATTTCCGAAATTTTGGTGTATCCATCACCTGAGCAGTGTAGACTGTACCCAATGTGTAGTCTTTTATCCCTCACCCCCTTCCATCTTTCTCCTGGAGTCCACAAGGTCCATTGTGACATTTTTATGTTTTTTCTTCTTCATAGCTTAGCTTCCACTTGTAAGTGAGAACATAGGATATTTAGTTTTCTATTTCTGAGTTACTTCACTTAGAATAATGGTCTCCAACTCCATCCAGGTTGCTGTGAATGCCATTATTTCATTACTGTTTTTGGCTGAGTGGTATCCTATGGTGTGTGTGCATAGTGTATATATATATATATATATATATATATATATATATATATATATGTATATATGTAAGTGTGTGTGTGTGTATATATATATATGTGTACATATATTTGTGCATGTGTGTGTATATACATATATATATGACCAGGAAAAAGAAATATGTGTGCATATATGTATACACATATATGTATAAACATATATGTATACACATATATTTATATATACATATATATAAATGTGTGTATATGTATATGTGTACATATATTTGTGCATGTGTGTGTATGTACATATATATATGACCAGGAAAAGGAAATGTGTGTGTGTGCATATATAAATATGTATACACATATATTTATATATACATATATATATAAATGTGTGTATATATATGTGTACATATATTTGTGCATGTATGTGTGTGTGTGTATATATATATATATATATATATATATATATAACCAGGGAAATGAAATGTATGTATATGTACCATTTATATATACACATATATATGTGTACATATAAATATGTGTATATATAAATATATGTACCCATATATATTCACGCATATATTTATATATATGTGTATATGTAAATATATGTGTGTGTGTATATGTATATATACATATCTATATATATGTGTGTATATATACACACACATTTATCTATATATGTGTGTGTGTATATATATATCTATATATATTTATCTATATCCATACATATACATACATTTATATATATATTTTTATATATTTATCTATATCTATATATATACACACACACAGAGTTCACAATTGCAAATATATATATGTACACACACACACACACACACACACACAAATATATATATAATATTTTCTTTATCCATTCCATCGATGGGCATTTGGGCTGGTTCCATATTCTTGCAATTGTGAACTGTGTTGCTATAAACATGCACATGGAGTGTCTTTTTCATATAATGACTTACTTTCCTCTGGCAGATACCCAGTAGGGGATTGGTGGATCAAACGGTAGATCTCTTTTTTGATCTTTAAGGAGTCTCCACACTCTGTTTCCATTGCGGCTGAGCTGGTTTCCATTTCCACCAGCAGTGTAAAAGTGTCCCCTCTTCCTCACGTTCATGATAACATCTATTATTTTTTGATTTTTAAATTTTGGCCATTCTTTGCAGGAATAAGGTTCCATTTGCATTGCAGTTTTGATTTTCATTTCTCTGGTCATTAGTGGTGTCAAACAGTTTTTCATATGTTGTTGACCATTTGTATATCTTCGTTTGATAATTGTCTATTCACAGCTTTAGCCCACTTTCTGATGGGATTTTTTTTTTCCTTCCTGGTTTGTTTGAGTTCCTTGTAGATTCTGAATATTAGTCCTTCATAAGATGCATAGCCTGTGAATATTTTCTCCCACTCTATGGGTTTTCTGTTTACTTTGTTATTATCATTTTTTGCTGTGCAGAAGGTTTTTTAGTTTAATTAAGTTCCATCTATTTATCTTTGTTTTTCTTGCATTTGCTTTTGGATTCTTGGTCATGAAACTCTTTGCTTAAGCTAACGTTTAGAAGAGTTTTTCTGATGTTATCTTCTAGAATTTTCATGGTTTCAGGACTTAAATTTAAGTCTTTGATATCCATCTTAAGTTGGTTTTTTGTATAAGGTGAGAGCTGAGGATCCACTTTCCTCCTTTTACATGTGATTTGCCAATTATCCCGGCACCACCTTGTTGAATAGGGTCTTCTTTTTCTCACTTATGTTTCTGTTTGCTTTGTTGAAGATCGGTTGACTGTAAGTATTCGGCTTTATTTCTGGGTTATCTATTTTGTTTCATCGGTCTGTATGCCTATTTTTTATGCCAGTAACTATAGCCTGTAGAATAATTCGAAGTTAGGTAATGTGATGCCTCCAGATTTCTTTGTGATTAGTCTTACTTTGGCTATACAGGCTCTTTTATAGGTCCATAGGAATTTTAGTTCTGTGAAAAATGATGATGGAATATTGATAGAAATTGCAGTGGATTTGTAGATCACTCTTGGCAGTATGGTCGTTTAAAAAAATATTGATTCTACCCATGCATGAGCATGGGAAATTTTTAAATATGTTTTTGTCATCTATGATTTCTTTCATTAGTGTGTTTTGTACTTTTCCTTGTAGAGGTCTTTCACCTCCTTGGATATATTCCTAAGAAGTATTTTATTTTCTTACAGCTATTATAAAAGAGGTTGAGTTCTTGATTTAATTCTCAGCTTTGTCACGGTTGGTGTGTAGCAGTGCTACTGATTTGTATGCATTGATTTTGTATCCTTAAACTTTACTGAATTGGTTTAACAGATCTAGAAGCATTTTATATGCATCTTTAAGATTTTTTAGGTATACGATTTTATTATTGGTCAACAGTGACAGTTTGACTTCCTCTTTAGCAATTCGGATGCCCTTTATTTCTTTCTCTTGTTGATTACTCCGGTTAGGAATTCCAGAACTGTGTTGAATAGGAGTGTTGAGAAAGGGCAACCTTGTCTTCTCGTGCCCCTTTGAAAGGGAAATCCTTCCAGCCTTTGTCCATTTAGTATGACATTGGCTGCAAATTTATCACATGTGGCTCTTATTAGTTTGAGGTATGTTCCTTCAATACCTAGTTTGGCCTTAAGTTTTCTTCTTTTTGTTTTTCTGTGCCAGGTTTTGGTATCAGAATGATGCTGGTCTAATATTTTGGGATTGTTTCAGTAGGAATGGTACCAGCTCTTTTTTGGGCCTCTGGTAGAATTCAGCTCTAAATCCTCTGGTCCTGGACTTTTTTTTTTTTTGGCTTGTAGGCTATTTATTACTGCCTCAATTTTAGAACTCCTTACTGGTCTATTCTAGGATTTGATATCTTCCTCATTTAGTCTTGGCAGAATGTATGTGTCCAGGAATTTATCTATTTCTTCTAGATTTTCTAGTATGTGCATAGAGGTGTTTATAGTATCCTCTGATGGTTATTTGCATTTCTGTGGGGTCAGTGGTTACATCCCTCTTATTTCTGACTGTGTTTATTTTAATCTTTTTTTCTTCTTCATTAGTCTGGCTAGCAATTTATCTATTT